GGCCCTTTGGATCAACAACCTCAACAAATCCACACATCCAATCGTTCTTCAAGATTAAGCCCCAACGCCCCTTGAAGATCCGCTCATCCATCAACCTTCAAGATCAAGCCCAAAAGCCCTTGAAGAAATCCACACAACCATTATTCAAGATCAAGCCCCAACGGCCCTTGAAGAAAGCGTTCATCATTCATCATCCGTTCATCCTAAGCTCAAGCCCCAACGGCCCTTTGGATCAACAACCTCAACAAATCCACACATCCAATCGTTCTTCAAGATTAAGCCCAACGCCCCTTGAAGATCCGCTCATCCATCAACCTTCAAGATCAAGCCCAAAAGCCCTTGAAGAAATCCACACAACCATTATTCAAGATCAAGCCCCAACGGCCCTTGAAGAAAGCGTTCATCATTCATCATCCGTTCATCCTAAGCTCAAGCCCCAACGGCCCTTTGGATCAACAACCTCAACAAATCCACACATCCAATCGTTCTTCAAGATTAAGCCCAATGCCCTTGAAGATCCGCTCATCCATCAACCTTCAAGATCAAGCCCAAAAGCCCTTGAAGAAATCCACACAACCATTATTCAAGATCAAGCCCCGACGGCCCTTGAAGAAAGTGTTCATCCGTTCATCAACTGTTCATCCTTAGATCAAGCCCCGACGGCCCTTTGGATCAACAACTCATCCACAAACCTACACCCTACGAAGATAGAATCAGAGGACCAAATTTGAGAGAGATCGTAACCCCAAAATCATTAAACACAAAATATTATTTTGTACACGTTATTCTTGTTTCTTGTTTCAAGGAACTTTTCGTGTTCACAAGCTTCTTGGACTTATCTCCTCCCTATTTTTTTTTCTTAATCCCGTACCTACACCCTGCTATCACCCTTCGTAAGAACCTATTTTCATCTCTTGAGGGTAATTTGTTGATGTGTGGAGATGAGATTGCTCTGCAAGCCTATGGTAGGGTATTCACATAATGATTTTTTTTTAGTGTAAACACTTCACCCCAAACACCTTGAGTGAACATTGAGAATATTCCTTGTGAGGTTAGGGGTTGCTCTTGAGTTGGCTTGTTTAATCATATTGCATCTCTATAGTCCTGACTATTTTGGCTTTCTTTCGTTTGTATTATGTTTCAGTGGACATTACAAAAAAAAAAAAAAAAAAAAAAAAAAACGTTTTTTGTTTGCTTTTTTCCTTTTGACTTCTAGATAATGTTCTTTAGGATTTAGCATGAGTCTGACATTTTGTTTGTTTTTATTTTTTCTCTTTCTTTGCTTTATCCCCTTTGATTTCTAGATAATGAGTCGTTTTCATCTTTCTATTATTTTATTTATTTATTTTTTTTTTGCTTATCTCTTTGGTCTTTTAAGTTGGGTTGAACTTGGACTTCTATTTTGGTTTGGTCTTTTTATTCCTGTGCTTTTCCTTTGTTCATTGTCAGTCGAACATCTCCTCCTCGTTTGTTATTTATACCATGGCCTCCATCTTCCTTTGCTGTCGTCCTTATTTTTGTTTTCCATACAATTTTTTCATCATGGTTTCATCACGCAAGTCTGCACGTTCTCCTGCTTTGAAAGGCACAACTCCGAGCATTATTCCTTCCGTCTCTTCTCCCCGCACACGGTCTGTGACTCGCAGATTGTTTTCGTCCCCACCTGCTTCTTCAACTTTTTCTGCTGATTGTCCCACTGAGGTTTTCAAGCGTCTTCTTGATCTCAGCAAACAGTTCTCTCAGTTGGAGCAGTTCATTAAGATGTCTATCATGGATCTTAGTCATCGACTTTCTTAATTGGAGCAATGTATCCATCGTATCCCCAATCACATGCTTACTCCTCTCATTCATATTTCATCCTCTGATGATGAGTCTGACTTCCGTCCTGCCAGTGTTCCACCACCTTCTCATACTCCATGTCCACCAATTCTGGAACGCACACCACTGCCAACTCCTACTTCAGACGATGATATAGAGGAAGATCCTGAGGAAGATCTCTACTGGGTTACCGATGACGAATCGTTGCCTAAGCACGATTAATTTGGCTTTTCCTATGACAAAAAGGGGGAGAGATTTTAGTTAGTAGTTAAGGGGAGTGATTTTTTTTTTTTTGCTAGAATAATGTTTTAGTTAGTGAGGGTTTCTTTTAGTTTATTATTTGGATGATACATCATGTTTGAATGATTATCTTTATTTCATTATTTCATAATAAAGCTTCTTTTTATTTTTCTCTTTTGGACGATGAAAGATAGTTGAATGATTATCCTTATTTCTTAATAAACATGCAACATCTATCTTTTGTACGTCACGGGTGTTTTGTTTAATGTGTGCAGATTACAGACTTCAATGCATAAGTTTTAAATTTTTAAAATATTGTATTTGGGGGTTTTGTCAATGAAATGCCAAAGGGGGAGATTGTTAGACCAATATTGGCAATTCTTGACAAAATGCATGAGTCTGTAATAGCTTAGACTTGTTATATATTTTCAATTGTAATTGTTTAAGTCTAGGAGGTCTCTTGCTCTTTTGATGAGAAGATGTTACGTGAACAAGATACACATTCAGGTATGTTTGCATGCATGCATCCAATTACATTCATCTATATCTCATGATATTGTATTTGAGATAGGTCTTTTATTAAAACTACTTTCAAGATAAATTGATTGTATTTTTAAAAGACTTATCTGATTGCATCCAACTAAATGGATTGCATGGTTGTCATTGTTTTAAAAAGAAAAAGTTGTTGCCGTGTGTATCTAGGATTTGTGGTTTTAAAAGGATTGTCAATTTAGCTAAAACCTATGATTAGTTATGAAATCTTATCAGTTCAAATTGGTTCCCGTGCATTGAGAATTTATAAGGAAGCTTTGAAATTGTTTCAAAGAGATGCCGCATATGCATGTTTTTCTTGGAAGATAGATTGGCAGCAACTTTGGGTTTTTAAAAGAGAAAACATTACTTTCAATGCATTAATCTTAAATTAACTTTTCAGTGGCTACCATCTTGTGGTTTGAATAGCATGTGTTTTTAAAGAGAAAATATTTTTTTTCATGCTGATTTTCATTCGGTTTTTATTGAATATCAATTATGAAAATGTGCCTTGTGATTTTCGTAATTGATTGATTTTTTCAACCAAACACTTCATCATATAAACATTATGCATGATCGAGTTAGTATCTTGCAAAGTTCGAGGAAAAGGTGATTGACGATCGTGTTAGTGTCGTGCCACTTCAAATCGAAGACTGAAGAAAGATCGAGTAGCAAAGCGCGAAGACAAAGCTGCCAACTAGTATGATTGTCTAGCTGATGAGTTCTTCTAAGTCTTTATGTATTCTTTCTTTCTTAGTGTTTCCTGGCTTGGTAGCCCGAGGATTTTCCCAGTGGTGGGTTTTGCCTCGTTAAATCCTACATCATGTGCGTACTTGTTATATTTATTTTGACTATTTGTGTAGGGATTAGTTTACATAACTGATTAACTTAAACCTTAAATTGCTTTAGCTTTAAGTTGAAATTTAGTTACATTTTTAGATTAAAATTAGTACCCATCCTAGGACTTTCAGATTCGCAGAGTACCATTTCATGCAACCAGCCTTGAGAATTTGAAGGCACTAGGCGTGCCTTCAAATGGGACTCTGAGTTCTCCGACTCCTGCCCATTTATTCACTAACATTTATAAAAAATAAAATAAAAAGAATTCGCTAAATACATGAACGGACGTTTTTCCGGAACGTGGAGAATAAAGTGCTTGTTGAATGGTCAAAATAGCGCCATTGGGCAATATTATACGAGTCTTTCCATCTCCTTCAATCAGGTTGGGTGGACCTGAGAGGGTTGTTAAATGTACATTCTTAGGTATGAATTTAGTAAAATAGATGCGTTCACACAAAACAGTGTGCGTGGTTGCACTAACTAACTTTCTCTTTTTTCTTTGTTTTTCTTTATTCACACAATTTTAATTCATATAGTAGTCGAGGTGGACGGAGATCATATATCTCGACGGAAAATCGCCCAAAGGCGAAAAGGTGGACGAAGAAGACGACATGAACAACAAGTCATTTAGGACCCTTTTGTCTGGGTTAGCACAAGCTTCGGCTTAGCGGCTCCAATGCGAGCTGCATGCTTAAGCTGGGGATTTGTAGATCAGGCCCGGTCTAAAGTAGACTAGGGCATCTAAGCCCATTACGAGTTCTAGGGTTTCAACATCCTTTTTTTTCTTTCTTTTTCTTTTCTTTATTCACACATATTTAATTCACATACTAGCAATATTATAACTATAATGTATATACAATTTATGTAATATCTAAAATTCGTAAAACATAAAGTTAGGTCATACATTATGGTGAAGGTTCACAATCAAGGCTGAAAAAATATCGAGATAAACACCGTTGTTTTGGAAGAACCTAGATTGCATGATGAATATTGTGAATTGGGTTCTATCTTCAATTTTCGCTTTCCATGTCGAAAGCTTGTATCATGTTCAACACAAAAATAAAATAAAATAAAATCGAATCAATAAAAGTATATAAATCAATTTTAAAAAAATCGAAATTTAATCAATTAAGAATAATTGAAATGTAATACGCCCATCATTGATGATGAATGATTTCCACATCAGATTCCTTTGCGCAGCAGAGGAGCATGCTAATAACGTGCACATGTTGTGGCTTATTTAATCTAACAAGGGGGAGAGAGGAGGCACGGCAAAGACAGAGTAGAGAGAGATGTGTTTGCAGGGTTGTGTAAAGGATGTGTTATTCCCTACACAATGCATTTATTTATATACTATTAAGGGAGGGAAGAATCTTGCTCCTCCAAGAAATATAAGTCTTAACAGCACAGCGAAGAATAACTAGTATCAAATATAATCTAAGATTTACATAATCACACTTTAATTCAATGTTAACGTGACAAAGAGAATAAGATCAAAAGATAAATCCGAAAAAACAAGTTAACTATAATGCACGTGAAGGTATGAAAAAACCTGAAAAATTATTGATAATATAACAAACACTTTAAAGTCCTATTTATAATTATGTCTTTGAGCCCTAGAAAATCTAGGAGTTCAAATAAAAGAAGTAAACAAATAAATAAAATACCAAAAGAGTCCTTAAACGTTAAAACCCTGATAAAACATTGTAAAGGTGAAATTTGGTTGAAAATTCCAGAAGTCACGGTTATGTCGATGTTATCTTCAAAACGGTGGATCATGAGCTCTAATCTGCAAAGCTTTATTATTGCTACCCATTTCAACTTAAATCTTCAATACGCCAGAAACATTCCTCTGTGATGTATCTCATTTCATGTCACTTCTGTAATTCATTTCGTCTGCCTCCAGAATCCCGAGCAATATTTGTGAATTATCATCGCACAATATATATATATCATTCGCCGACTCCTATCCCTACCGTGGAGAGAGTGAGATCATTTTTCCTATCATTCATTACCTTAATTTAAGAGGGAATGAGGGATGGTGCTATACTTGTCAAAATCAAACAAATAAACCGTAAAGAGACTATTAAGGGCAAGTACCATGCATGTCGTAATTAAGGAGAACACTAGGGAATCAAAGAATGAATTCTAAATCTAATTTATCGGCGACAAATATATTCAAGGCAGAAATATTAAATTAATTCACAAAAACAATGATGACCGTCAATTCCATTTTCTTCCATAATCTAGTTCATTACAAAACTCATTAAACCAAAAGCCACGAGGGTCATTCGAACTTAGAATGAGAAAGTTTATTTAAAACCATGTAACATCTTTCTACACCCAACTTAAATTTTAAAACTAATAATAAAACTAAAATTTATCAATAAACCACACACTATGATTAAACCCTACCATGACTCCTTGTATATTTATGTTCATTCTGGTTAAAACCCTAATAGCTTTATAGAGAAAAACAAGTTTTACTATCGATGGATACTTATTTTGAAGTTTTAGATCTTGCAACTAGGTATGACTTGACTTAAGAAAATATGCAAAAATGTAAGTGTATCGAAGAGTTCATAACAAAATATTTTCTTATACGAGATACTTACCCTAAATTGGTGATGTAAAATCTCAAGAAATAAAGCTAATTCATTTTAATTTCAAATGAGTATTAAAATGTATAAAGATTTTTTACAAAATTTAATTCATGGACACCATATAATTATAAAATAAATAAATAACAAAATATGTAAACAAAAAAAAAAAAAAAAAAAACCATTGATTGCGTATGGTGACATTAATTAAAAGATTTTATGGAGTAAAATAAATTAATTTTTAATCTTGTATAAGACATATTTTAAAATTTTATTTTATTTAAGGATTAAAATCTAGTTTTCTGTTAAATTAATCCACAAAAACACTGATGACCGTCATTTTCATTTCCCCCCATAAGCTAGGTTATTAGAAAACTTATTCAAGCAAAAGCCATCCCATAAACCGGGGGCCATTAGAAATTAACATTAACCTTAGTAGCAGCACCGATGTAATATGTGATGGATATGTCTTGCTTAATTAATCCCTAGCCAGACCAGACAAGTTTGCATCCCCTAAGGCTAAGACTAAGACGGGCTGGAAACACTCGATGCGTGCGGTACACTAAAAAGGGCCCATTTGGCCTTGCGAGGGGATCAACAATTCTCCGTCTTGATTACCAACACTTCTCTAGTATTCGTCCTTTCCTCCACCACGACCACTTTTACCGTCAATACAATCGCCCGCCACCCCTACCAAGAGCTTCTGTCAACCCGAAAGAGTCTTTCTCTATCCGCACGGAAGGAGGCTGTTAAGGATAAAGAAGGTCCACCAGATTAAATCTTAACTTAGCTATTAAAATAAGATTGTTAGCTTAGCCATTAAGATAAGGTTGTTAGGAAATGGAGTTAGTTGACAGCCATTAAGATAAGGCTGTTAAGGATAAAGGTCCATCAGATAGTTTGCAGCATCACTCTGTAGAATCAGTTTGCGGCATCACTTTGCAGAATCAGTTTCCTACATGCCATGTTGACTTCAAGTACCATATCAATTGAGCATAATTTATGGATTTTTTCAGGTTAGTATTTTCAGTTGTTTATGAAATATATTACGTCTAATACCCAGACCTCCTCCTTCCCCAATCCATTCTATTGTGCAATTCAGATTTCATTTTACATGTGATTGAATTTGTCTTATTCCTTTATTTTCCATTTGATTGCCTTATCTTTCTCCTGCTGCAACCTCATCATCGTATGTTAAAATCTTATATTGTTATCATTCATTTTGGTTTAGAATTACAATACAGGAATTAATTAACACGAGTGAATTGATTCAATTTTTCTTATGATGGTTTCAAATTTCCCACCCCTCTTTCACTCAAGTTCTCCCATCTCCAAATTTAAAAACTCAAACAAATAAATAATGAAATTTCAGATTAGAGAAACTTACTAGAGGAAGGACGTCAAGCCGAAAGAATGCAACCTGGACAACAAGAGAGATCGCTGGGTTCTAGTGTGCGTTGGGTTTTGGTATGGACTGGGTTATAAGAAAAGTCACTTTTCTGATAGCGTGAGAAATGGGTTCTGGGAAAAGTCACTTTTCTGATAAAAGAGGGTAGGACTGGAAAATTGAAAGTTTATTAAAAGGGTCAAATATTTTTTTATTAAAGGGGTCAAATATTTTTTTAAAGGGATAACTTATAAATCTATTGGGCTCAAGGGAGCCCAATGCCTCTGCACTGGTTCCGCCATTGGCCACCACACCAATATATAGCACACAAAAACCAGCAGTGCAAACCTACCACAATAGATTAGTAATGACAAATCCTAGACCGAGCAACATGCAGAGCCATCACAAAAGTGAGAACACACAACTTCTAGGTGGCACAAACGAAGCAAATTACAACAAAGCCAATAAGAAAACCACCGACGGCTCATCACCACTACAAAAAACAGGGCAGCTCCTTCTGATCAACAACAACGTCACCGTACCCTCGAACGATCTGCAGTACCTCAACCTGAGTAAGGAGACCCGCTGCAACTGCAACCATGGAAGGCTTATTGGCCACAGATCAAGCTATAGGTCCGCAATAGTTCCACACCACCGCCGAATCAAGACGGATCGAATTTGCCTTGCAATTGAGCATACGAGGTGGCTCAACCAAAACGGCCAAGGAGTGCCCAGCCACCACGGAAACCAACACAAGAAGTTGGCTTGTAAAGGGTTTGTAGGAGTGAATCTAACTGGCATGCATAAGATAAAATTCAAGTAGATTAACATGCATGTAAACAAAAAGGGCGGAAGCAAACTAAAGCGCTACAAAACCCTCTTCAAGATCTTGGTCCTATGGTTGGTATATTCATTTACTTTAATATTAAATGGCAGATTATAAGTTATACCTTTGCATCTAGCTTTGAAGCTAAGCATTTAACTCCTCCAACTTCTTTCTCCTTGCTCCAGCTTGTGTAGCTTCTCCTTTATGCACCAAAGTCGATACCCCTTAATATTTCGACACCTCCTTGTGTATGGTGAGTGTAGGATAGAGAAGTGTGACATGCTAGTACCCACTTGCTTTATTATAGGAGAGATTTTTCAGTGTGATCATCACTTGTCCCGACACGAATGGTGGGACATGTGTATTAAAAAGTTAATAACTTTAAAAATAAAATTTACCACCACTTAAATAAAAATACATGACGTACCACTTGTGTTCCGGTCACAATGAAAAATTTATCCTATTATAGGGAGGGATAGGGTGGAAGGTTTGGTGGTGGCGATGGTGTTTCTCTCTTTCTCTCTTTCTTCCTTTTTCTCTTTATGTTTCTGTACAAGTTGTTTCTTTTGAGTACCAATACACGGGGAGAAAACAGAATGAAGAGAACTATTAAATGCAAAGAAAGTGAAGTGAAAGAAGATTACATCCTTAAACTTCCAAGAGAACCTTCACTTTAAATCTTTTGACTTGCACTGTCACATGAGTTTGTTTTGCACTCCATTTGTGAAAATAAAATAAGAACAAAACCCACTAACACTAGGTCCAACCCAACCGGCCATAGCAATCATATGGGCCTTTTGGGCCACTACTTAATTAGTTTAATTTGTCTTGGGCCCAATGTCCCGGTTTATCCCAAAAGCATTTCAAAGCCCAAAGTAGACTTTAAACCTCCAATATAATTAAGGATATTTAGTCAAAGGTCAATAAAATCTTTATTAATTACCCATACATCAATCGTCATTTTTTTTTTTGACATAATCAATGAAATATTTATAATAATTATACATAGGCCAATAAATCATGTCACATGGGTTTAAGCTTGTTAAATAATAACTATTATACCCTTCTCTCTTCATTTTATTTCATTCCTTATCTTATCTCTTCTTTCATCCTTACGTACTTCATTCTCTCCCGATTCAACATCATCCAAACCAAAAACAAAAGTGGTTCTGTTTTTACCATTTGAATGCAGACACTATAATGCAGTTTTTGCTTTGTGCTTCAATTTTTGCCTTTGGATTCAGACACTGCATTGAAGTGTCTATTTCCTGATTCAATTCTTACCTTTGAGTTAGACTTTGCTCTTCAAATGTCTATTTTGATTAGCCACACCACATCTAATGTTGGTTCTGTTTTTACCATTTGAATGCCGACAATGTAATGCAGTTTTCGTTTTGTGCTTCTGTTTTTGCTTTTGGATTTAGACACTACAATTTTTTTTTTTTTTTGGATCAAACATTATAAAATTCATTAATAAAGAAGGCTAGTACAAGAGATGGATAGCACAAAAGAAAGGCAGCCCAAAACAAACAAGTAAAAGCACAATCCAACATAATAGAAAATACAACGATAAGAAAAGAAAGAAGATAGGCCAAACAAGAGAAAACTCCAATTGTAACCCTAGATCTAAAAAAAGGAAATATGTTGCATCTTCCAAGCTAGTTGCAGCATCTTCACAACGCCAACACCATAAAAAGACGAACCAAGGAACCAAATGGATGAACGGAAAATAAGGGTGGCCAAGCCACCCGCGCAGTGAGTACTCCTATAATCCTACCAAATAGTGTAAAAAGCATTTTAAAAGCCACCAAACGCCAGAGTACTCCTCCAAATGAGAAACTTGAAAGAGCCATCCAATGAAACAAGTTACCAAGGGTGATGTTAGAGGATTCGTGAAGAGGAACAACAACTAGGGAGGAAAGATGCATAATAAACTCAGAGCAAAATTTAGACAAAATCTCAAACTAAGACAAAAGCTCAGAGCACACCACCAAAGGATAATAGATGCTACTGGAGACAAGGGAAAGAAACAAAATTGGAAGGAAAGGAAAAAAGAAAGAGAGAGAGAGAGAGAGAGAGAGAGAGAGAGAGAGAGAGAGAGAGAGAGAGAGAGAAAGAGAGATATATATATACACACACCAAGACGAATGGAAGGAAATGATTTGAGGGATGAATTAGTGGGCTAGAGGGAAAAAGGAAAAGGAGGAAGAGAGAAGGTTGCCTACCGACCCCAACCAAAGAAGAAGGAGTCAGCGACGAGCAATTAGCTTTGGGGGGTTCTGTGCAAGAAAAGGGAACGGCTAGGGTTGAGAGAAAAAAGTTCTTTAAGAGTCATCATTTAGACACTGCATTGAAGTGTCTATTTCCTAATTCAATTCTTACCTTTGAATTATACTTTACTTTTCAAATGTTTATTTGATTAGCCACATCTAATATTGGTTATGTTTTACCATGTGAATGCAGACACTGTAATGCAGTTTCCATTTTGTGCTTCTGTTTTTGCCTTTCGATTCAGACACTGAGTTGAAGTGTCTGTACTTGATTCAATTCTTACCTTTGAATTATACTTTGCTTTTCAAATGTCTATTTTGATTAGCCACATCTAATACTTGTTCTATTTTTACCATTTGAATGCTAACCCTATAACGCAATTTCCCTTTTGTGCTTTCTTTTTGCCTTTGGATTCAAACAGTGCGTTGAAGTGTTTCTTTCCTAATTCAATTCTTACCTTTGAATTATACTTTCATTTTCAAATGTCCCTCACAGAATGGCTTTATTAAGGGCCAAAATAGAGTTTTATTTCGCAAATCAATTTGCTTACTATTGAGGATGTCTTTCACCTCTTGAACAATCATGTTGAAGGCAGTCATGTTGCACCTAAACTGCATGTGGTTTAGGTGCTTAGCTTTTCAATCATATTCCTTTCTATGTTATTTCCTTTTTGTTTTTGAAGTACTATATTTCGCTTGTTTATGTTTTCCTTTAACTTTTATTGAGGACATGCTGTGTTACCGATATTAATACTATGTCTGAATCTACAGAAACTATTTGAATATTGATGTAAAACAAAATAACAAGAAACAGACACTGCAAAAATGTTCTAACTAAAAGAAAATAAAACAAAAAATCTAACATCTTGTATGCGATTTTTTATACTAGCACCCCACATTAAAATTTAACATTAAATTACTTATTTACCCCACTATGCAATGACAATTATGACCTTATTAGGTTTTTTTTTTTTTTTTTAATTCTAAATAAGTTTTAGCATATTATTTATCTTCTCAACTATCAAAACCCTCCCACCCTCCATTGTTGAACAAAACCCCAACCAACGAAACTACAAATATGTTGATTGAGAAAAATTGTTTTTGACGAATGGAACATGAATTGATGTTTCGTAAGCTTCACATGAGGTAAGATTTCGTATTTTTCATTGTTTTAGTGATTTCGACAACATCGATAATTATTTAATCTTGCGTTTGTTGCATTATTTAAACATCTATATTCATAGTTATCTTTTAGGGATCACAAAGATTACATAAAGATTTAAACACCTAAATTACCACACCAAATATTAAAAACAGACGAGATGAGTTTTAATGGTGGAATTGAAAACAAACCCACATATGATTTGTTTTCTAGCAATCTTGCAAGAGAATCATATTCCTCAATAAGACTTGCAACACGATAAAAAACACATCATAGTAAAGAACTATGAGGATCATTAGGAAAGTTGAATGGATTCATATGGCAATACTAACTGTGACTTAGAAGCAGAACCATGTCACTATCAATAACAGATGTTATACGATGCACAATAGTAATGAATGCGCAGTCAGTAAAGTGTTGTCGAAGGGTCTGCTAGATCAGATGCGGGATGCATGTACAAAATATAAGGTGTATATTGAGAATGTAGGGTGTGGGGTATTATTGGAAAGTACGTAGGGTGTATTAAGATAATTTTTAAGTGAAAAAGTAAATGTGGAGTGTATTAAATATGTGAGGTTTATTCAACAATTTGTGAGGTATTAATATAATAAGCCTTGTATAAATTCTTTTAAATTATCTCTAAGCAATATAATTATCATTCTATTTTTGGAAAGGTACTATTGTGTTATCACATCTATCTTTGAGCTTATTAAGAGTAACCAATCTGTTTTGGAGCGTAAATTAAACTCAGGCCTACTAAGTCCAATTCCAATGGTTGAGGTTACGGGCTAAAAATTTAAGTTCTAACTTAGAAACAGCCATTCATCTCAACCCAAAAGCTCTTTAACTTACCTTTTAGTATGATTATAGTTTATGTTAATTCCAACTAAGTTGCCAGCCCCGAGGTCCAACGTTTCTTTACTGATCTAATTTGATTCCATATATAACTGGTCTGATTTAGCATTATCTTTCCTCTCAGAATCTTGCTAGTTTTATACTTTTCTTTACATTTCAAGTGTACTGTACTCTTCCTTCAATTATGGAAGAATTAATTGAAACATTTTTTGATTCATTCCTTTCATTGTTATGTTTTAGGCAAGCGCGCTAACCAAAAAAAAATTTAAATGTCCTCGGTCATCAAGGTATTAAAAGAATCTAAAAACGGGAGTCTTATTTGATGCTCAATTTTGTTGTTTAGAAGTCCGATCTCGCGAAACACCTCAAAATTACTGCACAAATACTGTTTGTTGACAGCCTCTAAAATGACACGCCTACAAGCTTCTTTCTCTCACGTATTGACAAAATAGGACCTCGTTCAATTTTTGGAACCATCACAATCGATTATGGGTTGATGATTACTTCAATACTGGATAATATCATACGTATATATCTATATTATTATACTTTTTTTGGGGAGAAGAAGCCTGTATTATTGAGATGAGTACTCAATCGATAAGGTTTTTAATATTTCGATTCGATACCGGAACTTAATATCTCATCCTATATCCCAAGCATGCAAGAAAATCAACTCGAATTATGTTATGGGAGTGGAAATATACTGTGAAGGGAACAACTGATATATTTTATATAGTGCAAGACATGAACTGTGTACATCATATCTTTGAAAGATACGTCATTGGGATCGAAGATGCCAAATGTTTGTAGTTACTTGTATTATTGCACTGATAAGTGATGCATGCAATTTGGTGGGAGGGGCGGATAGACTTAGACCATCTCCATCTGAAGGAGGGTCAAATGGTTCGTTTTAATCCTCTGGTCCTCTAAGAAATTAAGATTTTAATGAATAGTGCAGTGCCATATTTCTTACCATCTCCAACCGATGGCCAAATGGCCATAGGGCTCGTTTTAGCTTTATCATAAAAAACTGTCTCCAACGGAGGGCTAAAGAGCCATAAGGCCAAACATGATTTATTATTTAAATTTAAAAACTACAACTTAAATTTAAAAAATACAACTTAAATTTAATAACTTCAAGTAAATTTTAAAAAATACAACTTATATATTTCAAGTCAAATGTGAATATAGAGTATAAAAAAATAAAAAAATAAAAAAGGAAGGGGATGGGAGAGTCCCACCGCTGTAGGAGAGGAAGTAGAAAAAAAAAATGGAAATGGGTGGGCATGTCCCACATCAGCTGTGGGAGAGGAAGTATAAAAAAAAAAAATAGAAGTGGTGGGAGTTCCACATCGACTGTGAAAGAGATTTGAGCAAGCTCTAAGGCCTATAAAAAGAACATCCAAACATACTTCCTGGGCCTATAATTAAATATATTTTTCAAAAAATTTTGGCCCAAAAAAAAAAAATTCAAATAACGATAATTGACGTTAGCTAACCGTTTTTAGCTGGCATCACGCTGACATTAACTAGCCGTTGGTTTCAAATTTATGGCCCAGTCCGGGGCTATATGGCTGGCTCCCTTGGCCTAATCAGTTGGCCCTTTTTTGTCTAGTGGGGTCCACAAGCCATTTGCCCCAACTCTCGATTGGAGACGATTTTTAAACTATTTTTGGCCCTCTGGACTCTTCGGTTAGAGATAGTCTATTCTACCACTAAAGCCAGGCCACACGGTTTTGAATCGATACATAGCCATATGATGATGACGCTCATTAATCCAGCAGTACCATAGTATATTGTACAAAATTATTTCTTGCTTATATGACTGAGAGTTCACGTGCAATGAAAATCAACAACTGGAGTTGCGCTGCTAACACTTGCAGTGATTATAAGAGGACGATTAGTTTATATTTCAATGACTTGTTTGGGATTGTTTCTTGAAAGATTAAAAACAATTTCTAACAGAGAAAAATGCTTCTGACTATATTTGGTAGAAAAGTTTAAAAATGTTTCTTGTTTTAAAAATGTTTTATAGGGGAATATAAAGAGTAGAAGAAGATGAATTTGGATTCTTAATTAAAAAAATGGATTTTTTTTAATAATTAATAACACCAATAGACTGAGCGCTTACGACTAGAAGTACTTTCTAGTCCCAAAAAGACGTAGTGGAATTTTTTCCCTTCCAAATTCCTTTCACTCTAGTCCCCTCCTCTTTCACTTTCCCTTTTTTTCTTTCTCTTTCTGTAAATAAACAAACACCAGATGTTGATGTTTAATCGTGACCATTCAAATAGGAGAAGATTGGAAGGATGATGGATTTAGGAGGAAGTGAATCATACTCCATCTTTAATTGCAATTTTGTGCGAAAAAGAGTACTATTTTTTTTACATTACTCTTAAGAAAAATAACTTATAATCGAACCAAATTTCCACTAATCATTTCAAACACAAAATAATTCAACTCCTCCCTAGCTAACATATAATTAAGGAAGTGATTTTTGTAGAAATTGTATTTGGCACAACTGAATAATTCTATTGATATGCTAACGATATATACAAGAGTTATTGTTGCACAATAAGGAATCCGTCAATCTAGGAATTACGATAGTAAGTATAAAATCAATTACATGAAAACTTCTAACAATTTTCGCATACACATTTTTTCTTTGTATACAAGTTTTTTTTTTAATTATATTTTTTGGATTAAATAAGGAAAGAAGAATTAATGGATAAAGAAAAGTCGTCCTTCCAAAAAAAAAAAAAAAAAAGAAAAAAAAAAGTCGTGTACGGGGGAAAAAACTCTGTGCAAAATCATTTCCGAGATTAGCAAAAGACCCAGATTACTGATTCTGGCATTCTAGGGCTCCAAACTTACACAAAGCAAACGAGGTTTCCTCTGTGTCTTGGCAAAGTAACATGTAAATATCGAAGAGAATAAGATAAAAGAAACCCAGAAACAAATACCCTTTATATTATTGAAGTACTAGCTCCATGCAGTTTGTTAATTATAAAAATTACTCCTCTCAAATACAAATAATACCTTACAACCATGAAAAATCTTTTTTCCAACTTACTTCATCATTGCTGAAATAAAACCCGTCTTCTCTGACTAACCAAGAACACTTCCTAAAAGGACCGCACCTCTGAAAATCCCTCGGGGCCTTAAACGCCTCAAAACTCCTCCTTATTCGGTCCCATTTCATGGTACATTTGAAACGGTCAGTAGTGCCCCAGAGATTGGTCCTCAGGCTCCAGCTAAAATCTTCATGCTCCTGAAGTGCACGTCCACCAAGGTCACTGTGCTGTGATGCACACCAAATCACCAACGGCAGGGACGAGTTGTTCGTGAAGCCGTTGATGACTCGAACGTTGTATTCGGTACCGTAGAAGTTATGGGGTTCTATTGACATGCAGATTACGAAGAATGCAAGAACACAAAGAAGCAGAATGCTAGTGAGGGTCTTCATGTCTTGAGTGTGCAGGTATGATGGAAATTATAGAATGAAATCGAAACCAGTCTTTAAAAGGTGGCCTTAAACCAAAAAAAAATACTTTTCACTACCGTGGAATGGTAACGTTATAATGGTATGCCTAACCTACTTTATAGTTATTACCATATATACAGATAGACGAGAATTTTTTTACTGCCATAATTATGTTTGAATAAGAGAAATAAACTTAGAATTTGGATAAAAATCAGAATTTATAAATTGTCATGCATAATTTTCTTGTTTGGATTCATATATACACATAAAATTTGAGATTTTCGCATGAAAAAAAAAAATTGGAATTTGGAACCTCCAGTTCCCAAGTTTAAATTTCATGTAAATACGTGTTATTTTCAAATTTACATGAAACATGTGTGAGAATTTAAAAAAAAAAAAAAAAAAAAAAAAGAAAAAAACTCAACCATGTGTGGCAATCACCAACACATGTTACCACCACATATCCTTGTCACCGCTGCCACCATGACCACCACCACAACCACCATATAACATCATCACAGCCACCACATACAGTGGTTGCCGCCACCTTTTCGCCACTACCACCCACCTTCATCACCTCCACCTTTATGCTGTTCTTTTAGTTTCTTATTTTTGTTTTCTTACAATAATTGGTGCATGAATATACACTTAATGTAGATATAATTAACTTGCAGTAGCATGAGTATACATTTTTTTATGGGTAATTCTATTAACACCCTACAATCATATGAATACACCCCATAATTTTATTTTATTTTTCAATTAAATTTCAGTTTTTACCTTGATTTGAATTAAATTTTGAAATCCAAAATAAACCCCATCCACACCCTTATGCCGGCTTTCAACCACCACAGTGTCTGGGCAAAAATCCCACCCACTCGCCATGCTCTCTCTCTCTCTCTCTCTCTCTCTCCATATATATATATATATCGAATCACCAGCCACTCGTCGGTAGGTAATAGGGAATTGGGAGATGAGGTGTGTGAATCAAGAGTGATGGGCAATTCTCGGTCTGTTAGAGAGTCGGTCTTGGCTGTCAACTTCCGCGACATGGGGGGTCTTTGGCTATGCTGATATTGATGACGGATACCTCTTATATGGGTGGCCTATGGCCATCGAGCTAGTTTTTCTGCCGTCATTTGTTTATGGGGATGGGGTGGCTTCAGAAAAATGGAGGATAAAGCTGGAATTTTAAAGGCACATTTTAGATGTGGGGTGTGTTCATAAAGATGTGGGGTGTTAATAAAACAACTTTTTTTTTTAATTAACTTTTGCATGAATATACACTACATAAAGTAATTATTTAATGAAAGATTGGTACGCACCAGTTTGATAATAACAATGGACCAGGAGAAATTATATTCATTAGAAAGAAAATGACTGTAATTTAAGATAACTAGTATACACTTTGATGTAAATGATTATAGGATTTAATGATTATATAATTGTGGTTATAAAATGTGACACCACATCAATAGCAAACAAAAGCAAGGAAATTAGAGTACTTATCTCATGACTTTTCAAGTGTCATAACTCACAAACGTGCTACCTAATAGCCGTATATATGATGATTGGGACGCTGCCCCCACTTAAATGCAACAACAAGATATAGATATTTATCAGCCATAAAATGTGCCTTTTTCTTTCAAACACATGATGGTATATATCCGCAACAAGTCACAAGACTTAAAGTTATCCAGAGTATTGTATCTAATTAAGATCTTGCGTTAATGATCTCTCTGATCCCAAATATTGCTTTAAATCGGACAACACTATTATAAAAATATGGTTTTTTTTAGCTAAAATAGTTCATAAGATTGACATAACTCTTCACATTGATCTTTGAGATTTGAAATCAATAGAAGTGGCATCTGAGTTTATCCACAATCAATCATTTTGGTCATTCTGTGAAAAATCTCTATTAAATTGAGGTTATTTTTGTTATTTTTGTCCTTAATAGAATTTTTTGCCAAAGGACCATAACGATTTATGGTGGATAAAATCAGGGACCATTTGTAATAACGATTTATGGTGGATAAAATCAGGGACCATTTGTATTGATTTTAAATTTCACGACAAAAGTGAGAAGTTATGCCAATCCGAAAGACCATTTTGACTAAAAGCCTAAATATATTATGATAGTATTTAAATTCGAGGGGTTCGACTATAATGATATGTATTACTTAGTGGTACAAATTTTATGCAAGATTTAACTTTTGCAAAAATTCTTTAGATGCTTATATGTAAAATTTAATTATTGATTTTTTTGGATCACTTAATGATACGAACAAAAAAAATTGAAACTTGAGATTATATTAGTACTTAATCTCTACTGGACCACACCAGCATCACCCATTGGAGTAGAACTCATGGACATTAATTTTTCTTTGTTTGCTTTTTAAACAATTTGCGTGTTAGGAGGTAATCAAATCTTTAACTACTTACAGCTAAACAAACATCCTGATTTATCAGTGTCTCTCCAAGACTGCAAGATTTAGGTTCCAATTGGAGTTTAACAAACCCAATTAATTACATTTAGCCGATCCAAACTTTTATTTTATGTGATAACCAGAACTGGGACAGGTGACTATTGGGCATTGGAAAAGAACAGTTAAATTAAGGCCAAGTTGTTCAAAAAAAGGCCAAGTTGTTACTAGTGGATAACCATCACCACTAATCTAGCATATCTCAATACCCAAGTTGCACCACTAAGCAGTGTTTTGGTCTTAAAAAAGCAGCACTTGATAGAATAAAAGAGGGTTCCGATCGTTGTTTTTTTGCCGGTAGTTTTGCGTATGGCTTAAAGCTGGGAGTCCTAGACAAAACAATACAGCCTAGGATGTAATCTTGTAGAACTTGGTCATGGCAGAAGATTTATATTTGCCCAAAATCTATTGCTTTAAAATTTAATGCCTACCTTCTTTCTATATGATATATACGATTTTATTGTAGTCCTAATTAGGCGCGAGAAACAGACATGCGCTTGGGTTTCTTTCTAGTAGACCCGCAGGCTGCAGTCCTCAGGCTGCATTTTAGCAAGCCTGCTACTTGTTGGGCTTCCTCTCGGCCTGTCTTTCAGCAGCCAGCAGCTGACTGGGCTTACATCCAGTCTCGGCCTGAGTCCCAGCTGCAAGCATGCAGCTTGCTTTGCACGCTGGGCTGCCTGCAGCATCCCTTTTCTCGAGCCCAATTCCAAGCTGCAGGGCTTAGTTTGCAAAACAGTCAACACAATCGTGCTAAGCTGCAACCTTTCTTCGACCCAATCACACGTCTTAGGCCCCCGTTACGAGGGGTGGTCGATATGGAAGCCTAAACCTGGGATTCCGAATCCCAAACTAAAAATTTTTGGGACAAGAATTTGAAGACCAATTCTGAACCGAAATTTTGTTATTCCCCATTTTTAGGATTTCCAAAATGTTTTTGGTATTTCGGGATATATTGGGATTGGATTTTGGGTTTTGTGCTTTTGGGTCTTTGAATTGAAATTTGAGATTATTTTGGATGTACGCTAAAATTTGGGCTTTTGGCCTAAAATTTTGTTGTCTAATTTCATATCAATTGAAATTTAGGTTTTTTACCCCCATAAAAATTTGAAATTTTATACCAATTGAAATACCAGTTCATTCATATCAACTCAAATTGATGTTCCTGTAGACATCGAAATTTCAGTGAAATAAATGTTAATCAATACAACACTTATTTCACCTATATCATTCCCTCACTTCACCAACAACCTCCACTCATTTCACCTACATCATCCATTTACCTTACCTACAACCTTCACTCATTTCACCTACATCATCCACTTACTTCACCTACAACCTCCACTCACTTCACCTACAACCTCCACTCACTTCACCAAAAAAATGAATGGTGGTGATTCACTCTCAAAGCCTATAAATAGGCTTCTCCATCAAGAGGAATACACACCAACACCAAGAGACCAATTCACAAATACATTTCTCTACTCCCAAAATGGAAGAGAATACTCCCCACACATCCAAAATCCTTGAAGCTTTGAAACTCTAAAGCTCTCAAGCATCCAACCCCCAAATTCCCAAGAATCCCGAAGAATGGAGAAAGCACTCTTCATTCTTCGTCAAATCCTCCTTCAAGATCAAGCCCCGACGGCCCTTGAAGAAAGTGTTCATCATTCATCATCTGTTCATCCTAAGATCAAGCCCCAACGGCCCTTTGGATCAACAACCTCAACAAACCCATACACCCATTCTTCAAGATCAAGCCCAATGCCCCTTGAAGATCCATTCATCAACTGTTCATCCTTAGATCAAGCCCCGACGGCCCCTTGGATCAACAAACAAATCCACACATCTATTCTTCAAGATCAAGCCCAAACCCCCTTGAAGAAAACCAATTGTTCATTCAAGATCAAGCCTCGACGGCCCTTGAAGAAAACCAACCGTTCTTCAAGATCAAGCCCAAAAGCCCTTGAAGATCCGCTCATCCATCAACATTCAAGATCAAACCCAAAAGCCCTTGAAGAAACTTCCATCAACCTTCAAGATCAAAGCCACGATGGCCCTTGAAGAAAGTGTTCATCGTTCATCCTAAGATCAAGCCCCAACGGCCCTTTGGATCAACAGCACAAACAAATCCACACATCTATTCTTTAAGATCAAGCCTAAAAGCCCTTGAAGAAAACCATCTATTCTTCAAGATCAAGCCCAAAAGCCCTTGAAGAAAACCAACTGTTCATTCAAGATCAAGCCTCGATGGCCCTTGAAGAAAACCAACCGTTCTTCAAGATCAAGCCCAAAAGCCCTTGAAGATCCGCTCATCCATCAACATTCAAGATCAAGCCCAAAAGCCCTTGAAGAAGTCCACACAACCATTATTCAAGATCAAGCCCAAAAGCCCTTGAAGAAACTTCCATCAACCTTCAAGATCAAAGCCACGAAGGCCCTTGAAGAAACTTACAACTGTTCATCCAAGATCAAGCCTCGACGGCCCTTGGATCAACAAATCTACATCTTACGAAGATCGAATCAGATGACCAAATTTGAGAGATCGTAACCCCAAAATCATTAAACAACAAAAATATTATTTTGTACACGTATTCTTGTTTCTTGTTTTCAGGAATTTTTCGTGTTCACAGTTCCAAAGTTCCAAACTAAATTTCATACTTCTATTTCTAATATAGTTTACAATAAAACTACTTAAATTCAACATTCAACATACATGCAACCAAAATAAATATAATTTTCGGTTCGCTTTGTAATTCCCAACCATTAAATATGTAATCCCAATTCCCATACCGAAAGATTCAGGGATCGATTCGGTATGGATCCCGAAAAATTCGGTATTATCGGTTTGGAAAATTTTCTGTATGGGTTGGGATTTTTTTGGTTTGGTTTGGGATTTTAGGAAGAATTTCCAGCCTTACCCGTTACTTCGTACCTTTCGGGTGTCCTCGGCTAAAGCCCTAGTGGGCTATATTTTCTTAATTTCTTAGCCCGAAGCCAACCAAAACTTATATGACCCAAACATCATTATTATTTTTGCTTCCATAATTAACCTCATATGATCTATTGGATTAAATTAAGTGA